GTGTTGTTTTCACAGGTTGAATGCACACGTACACTCACAGGTTGAACGCACATTTCTTAAACTGTGTTATTGTTTATCCCAGCCCCCCACCCTCAGTGAAGTACCCATTGTTGATAGTGGAATATCCCCCCAGTGAAGGTCAGCTAGGGCCAAGTTCGCACAAGGACTATAGTTAACCATTGGTCGACTAACGCTTGCCCGAACTCTGTCTAGTCGACGATGGTTAACTACGCTAGTCGACTATTTGGAACCAATGAACCAACCTTCTGCACTGGGGCTGGTTGCATCGCTGGTAACCATAGCCGCGAGCGTTCATAACGTACAGCAGGGAGCCAGGATCCAGACATTTTGCAATGACATTTTGACCAGCGTTCGACTAGAGACGTTCGCACTTTGCTATTAGTGCGCAGGCGTAAGGTACGTCACAAATCAACCACTAGTCGACTAATGGTCCTTGCCCGAACTTGGCCTAGCTCTTTGCACGTACACGTACGTACACGCGTGCAGCGTTAATTGTGACATCACAGTCCACAACTCAGTGGCGCCATACGCACGCGTGGTGTTGCATCTATTGAGCACGCGCGCTTTAGCTTTACATGACGTAAACAATTGAAAAGAACTTCAGCGCGTACTGGTGTTATGTTCTAAGCTATATACTGCCACGTTTGCCTCAGAAAATACTGCTTTTTTGCAGCTTTTTTGAGAACCGCTGGTCCAAACAACTTCAAACTTTGCACTGCACATTCTGTTGTCCCGAAAAATATACCCGCCGATTTTCAACTTCATACGGTGCCCAGTTCTGGAGATAATCGACGGACAGACAGACAGACAGACAGACAGACAGACAGACAAATATTCGTCATTTCAGATCAAATTCGTCTAAAATAAGATGATGCCGAATGGCAGCACAAGTTCATGCAGAGATCGAATTCGTTAGAGGAACTCGATTTCTGAATAACATGGTTTGCCGTTGACGAGACGAAAGTGAATACTCCAGGACGAAAACGTGCTCATTGTTTAAATTTGCTTTAAAATTAAATGGTAAATGACCTAATAGGTCTTGGTAAAAGCATATATTCCTCTAGCCCAGGTTGGACGACGTCTTCATTGCATCCCTCCGTAACGTAGGGAGGTAAAGGGAGTCCACATGGGCTATATCTCCATGCTGGTAAAAGCGTGTGAAATGTTTCGTGGACGAAATTGAATGTTAAAGTTGTTGAATTGAATAAAACATGTTTAAAGTAGCCGAGAAAACCTACAATCGTCCAGCAATATCAATTAAGTGCACCACTTCCAATGTTTAATTTCGTCTTTTTGTCAGCAAATTCAGTTCAAGCAAATTCAAACAATGAGCACACGTTTCCGTCCCGGAGCATTCGATTTCGTCTCGCCTATGCCAAACCTTGTTATTCAGAAAATCAAATTCGTTGAATTGATTTACGGGCCTATAGATGAATTCACTGAATGTTGCCCATCGAGAGCTCATACGAAATGTATTTGTTATGACGAATATTCTCGACCCGATGACTAAAGATGGTGACCAAACTTTAAAATTGACTATTTATGGTTTTGTTAAAAGGTGTGAAAATTGAATAATATAATTGAAATTGAAAGAAAAATCTTTCTGGAAATCATGAGACTTAAAAAAAACGTAGACCCATAGCCCTATTTTTAAAAACCGTATTATTATTTAGACTTTATAAGTACACTGCAAAATCAGTTAGTCAACACAAACTAAGATGGAGGGAACTCAGGAATGAGCTAATAATTTCAGCAACCCTCGACGTGAAATGCGAATCACTGGCGATGATGGCAACATTTCCAAACTCATTTTCTGAGGGACTTAAACGTAGCTAGTGAAATATAACGTTTCCTCCTCAATTATTAAGATGACCCTTCCCTCATTTTTTTTTTGGGGGGGAGGGAAGGGAGCATAGTCAAGCCATTCAGTACTTTTTTTTCCGGCGGAGTAATCACATGTCATAAGTTTCCCATTTCCATTTCGTTGGTGTTCGTCATGATCCTCAGGACCTGATCCCGCTTTGCCTGATTGTGTGATGTACACGCAGCGATTTAGCAAACAGACATGGGATCACCATGGTTGATGGTTGAACCATTTTAAATTGTGGAAACCAAACCCTTGCATCAATTTTCAAGACAACCTCTCTCTACCTGAGCAGTAAATGATTGCCTTAAATGTCTTCAAAGATGGTATTTGGAATTTTTAATTGGCCCAATGACCAGGGGTAATAATAATGTAAAGTGCTTTGATCTTAGTTAAAAGCGCTTTATAAAAACCCGTTATAACTATTATTATTGTTATGTACTAATCTTTTTGTTCAAGTGAACGTCATTTTCATTTATCAAACTTTATTGTTCAAACTCAACAATGTCAGTTAAAGGGAAAATACAACATTTGCAAACATTGACAAATAAAACTACCAAGTTTTTTTTACGAAATGCCTTACGAGGATGTTGGTAAACGACAGTCTAAAGCATCCTGTAACATTATGGCACCTGGTGTGAAGTCATTTTCAAGAAAATGGTATTTTTGTATAGATTTCCAACAGTGGTCGGCCGACCACCGTTGGAAATACCTAACTATTTTCAACTACCGCTCCAAATTTACCTTTTTTCAGTCCAAATTTTGTTTGCTATTGGCTATATGTTCATGAACGGGTGCAGGCCAGCTAGACTGGTTCCCCTACCTTACAATTTTCCGGCATCTATAAATTGATCCATTTTATCTTTAGTTGAGTCAGGAAACCAGACTACTTTACCATTTTTGTTTTTCTTGGTTTTTTCCAGCATTTTCGAACACAAAACTTGAAACATGTCAGTGTAACAATATTTGATCTATTATAGAAACCCCTCAAATAGTTCATTTCTGAAAATTATAGCAAAAGCCAATGATGTACATTCCCTTTAAGTAGAAGTTGAGAATCAAATGTCGCGTATTCTTTTGACTTTGCTGTGGTTCCCTATTTTAGGGATATATTAATTTATATTACCGTGCCAGTCAATGAGCTTACATGCAAGTATAGACATTTTGAAACAATTCAGCTAGATTTTCATAAATCATAAACTGTGCAGTTTCTGTCCGATACCGTAACAGCGGCGCCACGGAACGCCATGAAGTAACGTGGCTTCAAAACTGTGAACTGTGCACTGTAACAAAACCAAAAATAAATCGCTTAACCCAAGAAGCTGTAAGTTTCACTGAATATTGACCGTTTAACCCTAACTCCCTAGGGGGTGTGCAAAATTATTTTAAAATTGGAGGATTCAGGACTGTTAGGGATGTATCTGCATGTGTATTGATTATACCGAGGATTTTTTGGTTACCCTTGTTCCAATCATGGCCATTTAAGGAGTCGCCCGATGAATAAACAGTCGAAGTTTTCCCTCAAATTGTTACCCCTTAGAAGAAAATGAAAACAATTAATTTGCGCACCTGGGATTTGTGTTTAGTATGGAGCTCTGGAAGTGCCATCCTACTTGTTCAGATACTGACTTATTTTATCTCAGGATGACGACATATTACAGGCAAGGTGGCAACATCCCGAGATAATTTATTATAGGATGACGACATACTGAAAATAGGATGACGACATCTTGACATAATTTATTAGGGGATGACGACATCCTGAAAGTAGGATGACGATATCTTCATATTGTTGTTGTTGTTCGTCCATCGTTGTCGATGAAGACCATGGTATCAGTTCTGCGTAGAGCTGGTCCTATGTGTCCGGAGATGGCTGATCAGGCCGATCCGGGCGCGGCGACTCCTTCCGCGCTCAGGGCACACGTAGGCTGGTGTGGCGTCCTGGGTGCTGGCTGCTCTCAGCTTTCGCCTCTCCCGTTTCTGCTTAGCATGGGCAGCTCTTTGGTCCTCTGCTGCCTGGGCGCCTTGGGCGATGATTCTGCGCCAGGCAGGGCGGTCTGCTGCACATGTCTCCCAAGACTCTGTGTTGATGTTGAGGTCCTTCAGGGAGACTTCAGGCTGTCTTTGAATCGTTTCTTCTGTCCACCGACAGTACGCTTGCCCCGGGAGAGCTCACCATAGAGGAGCTTCTTGGGGATGCGGGTGTCAGGCATGCGTGTGACATGGCCTGCCCATCTGACCTGAGCCTTGCGAATCATGGTGACAACACTCGGGAGCCCTGCCTGCTTCAGGACCTCAGTGTCTGGGGCTCTGTCCTGCCATCGGATGCGAAGGATGTTTCGAAGGCATCTGAGGTGGAAGCGGTTCAGCTGGTTTTCATGTCTTCCGTAGGTGGTCCAGGTTTCACAGCCGTAGAGGAGTGTGGTGATCACTACAGTTCGGTAGACTTTCACCTTGGTCTCAGAGCGGATTCCTCTTCTCTCCCAGACTTTCTCTCGGAGCCTCCCAAAGGCGCAACTTGCTTTGGACAGTCGGTTGTTGACTTCCGCGTTAATGGTATCTGTTCGAGAGAGGGTGCTGCCTAGGTAGGTAAAGTCCTCCACCGCTTGAAGTTTCTCTCCCTTGACTGTGATAAGGGGCTCGTGGTGTGCGTCTCCTGGAGCAGGCTGGAACATGAGCTGCGTCTTCTTGGTGCTGATAGTCAGGCCAAAGTTGTCTCAGGCAGAGGAGAATCTGTCCATCGCCTGCTGCATCTCTTGCTCATGACAGGTGTTCAGGGCACAGTCATTCGCGAAGAGAAGGTCTCTGATGACGGTCTCCTTCACCTTGGTGACAGCCTGCAGACGCCTGAGGTTGAAAAGTTTCCCATCACACCTATACTTGATGCTGACGCCTGACTCACACAGCCCTGCTTGACTCCATTTGTCACGGGGAATGGGTCTGAGGGTTCACCGTCGTTCAGGACACGGGCTGTCATGCCCTCATGGAACTGCTTGACGATGGCGGTGAACTTGCTCGGGCAGCCAAACTTCCCCATGATCTTCCAGAGACCGTCCCTACTGACCATATCGAAGGCTTTGGTCAGGTCCACGAAGGTGGTGTAGAGGCCCTGATGCTATTCCATGCACTTCTCCTGGAGCTGGCGGGCGGCGAAGATCATGTCGGTGGTCCCTCGGCCTGCTCGGAAACCGCACTGGCTATCGGGAAGGAGGTCGTGCTTCTTGGTGGCTTTGCTGACTTCGTCATCGGAAGGGGGAAGGTCCAACTCGTCGTTGATGGGCACTTGGGGCAGGCGGTCGATGGCCTCATCATTGATGGAGGCCGGTCGGTTGAGCACAGCGTTGAAGTGCTCCGCCCACCTGTCCAGGAGCTGCTTCTTGTCCGTGAGCAGAGTGGATCCATCGGCGCTGAGCAGGGGGGAAGACCCAGATGGCTGTGGACCGTAGATTGCCTTGAGTGCAGCATAGAACTTCTTTGTCTCATGTCTGTCTGCATGCCCTCGGATCTCCTCTGCTTTAGCGCTGAGCCAGGAGTCTTGCATGGAGCGTAGCCTGGTCTGCACCTTGCTGTGGATGTTCGCGAAGGCCGCTTTCTTGGCAGCGCAGGTGGGGTCACTCTGGTGCGCACGGAACAAACAATGTTTCTCCTCCAGAAGGGGTTTGATTTCGACATCGTTTTCATCGAAGCAGTCATGGTAGTTTCTGCTCTTTGGGCCGATGACTTTAAGGGCAGTGGAGTACGTGACGTCCCTGAGTCGCGCCCACTGTTCCTCGACACTATCCTGGCTGGACTGGGCTTGAGAAAGCTTGGTGTCCAGGGTTTCCTGGAAATCCTGTACAGTCTCGAGGTGCTTCAGCTTGGCCACGTCGAGTCGCTTGGTGACCTTCTGTCCCTGAGGCTGTCTCTAGGGCTGGATGTGGAGGTTCATCTTGGAGATGATGAGGCGGTGGTGGGTCCAGCAGTCGGTGCCACACATGGCCTTGGTCACTCGCACGTCGCGTCTGTCCCTCTCCCTGACGGTGACGAAGTCGATGAGATGCCAGTGCCGTGAGCGCGGGTACATCCAGGATGTCTTGTTGCGGGTCGGCAGGCAGAACATGGTGTTAGTGATGGACAGGTCGTGTGAAGCGCACGTACCGAGCAGGAGAAGGCCATAACAGTTGCACTTGCCGACTCCATGTCGGCCGAGGACCCGGTCCCAAGTAGTGGAGTCAGTGCCAACACGGGCGTTGAAATCGCCAAGCACAATCAGCTTCTCTGTCTGTGGAACGGCGGAGATGAGAGTGTCGAGTTCTTCATAGAACCTGTCCTTGATCTCCTCAGGGTTGGTCATGGTCGGTGCGTAGGCGCTGATGAGCGTGGCGGTTCTTCCCCTCCAAAGTGGAAGCTGCATCTTCATCAGCCGGTCGTTGATGCCCTCCGGGATGCTCGCCAGCTTCTTCACATGCTCGGTCTTGATGGCGAAGCCCACGCCTGCCTCTCTGCGCTCTTCGCTGCTGCGGCCACACCAGAAGAAGGTGTAGCCACCGCCAGTCTCAGTCAGTTGGCCCTTGTCGGAGAGGCGGGTCTCACTGAGGGCCGCGATATCCACCTTGTAGCAGGCAAGTTCTCTCGTCACAAGGGCAGTCCGTCCGCTTTGCTGTTGTCTAGTAGGGTCCGGACATTCCATGATGCTAGGGTGAGCATCAATACTTTCTTCTTGATTCTGCTTTTGTTTTGACCGTAATAGGAAAACCCCGCCAACCGCGGTATGCTGGCCAGGGAGGGTTTGAAGCAGCTATGTTTAGGGCTCCTTTTATCGCCCCGCCCTCATGCAACGGAGGCGAGCAGAGTGGTCCTGAAGAGGGCTGCTCGGTCACTCAGCCAGTTGCCTGCACCCCTCTGCTGCTTCAGTCAATGGAGTACGACCAGTTTCTGAGCCACCTGTGTGCAGGGTCGCAACTACAGCTTCCAGTGCTTTCCTCACCTGCTGCTTTGCTGCTCCCCCATCGCCACAGGACTTAGAGACGCAATGATGTAGATGACTTGTGCGGAACTTGGATTATAGTGAGGGTGACTTGCGCTGCATCAGCCTCACTCTCTCTCTTCCTGGCACGTCCGGGTCCAGTAGCAAGACGAAGTCGAGACGACTGGGGGCGTGCCAGTATGCAGGAGTTGCCGGAAGGTGGCAAGTATGCCAACCGACCGCCTTCGGGGCTCCACTCCGGAGTTTCTGTCGGGGTTTTCTCCCTTAGCCTTTGTCACTCCCGTGACGCCACGAGGCAGTGGTGCTATTTACCCATAGCTTGGGGGTTAGGCTACATATCCCTGGGAAGGGGACATGGTAGCGCAGTAGAGGAGCCATTCCATCCATCACAGGTGCGGTGCCTCCTCCTAATCGGGCACACACCGTTGGAAGCATGCTCATCTGCTGGTGCAAGTCGAGGCAGTGCTTCTGCCCACTGCCAGGGGGGATTGCCAACCAGGCTAACGGGCTCCACCTGCCCGGGTTTGAGATCAGAGTTCCTTCTCCTAGGCGGGCTGCCTCCCATGGCTAACGAGCCCCACCTGCCCAAAGCAATCTGGTTTTCAGGCGACAGAAACTCGCCTTTCACACCTCTGCCATCGGTTATAAACAGGGGTTGGCACGAGAAGCCAAGCAGTAGAAGTTTGGTTAGGAGAGGCTGTTGGAGACGCAGGTCATATGGGATATTTCGTGGACAGGGAGCTGCTCATTTCTCCCTCCCATCCCTCCCATCCTAACCCTTTGACCCCCATATAACTTATTATGGGATGGCGACATCCTGAGATAATTTAAGAGGATGATGACATCCTGGTAGTAGGATGACGACATCCTGAGGCATCAAATACTATATAATTTAATGGAATTAAGCGAAGTTTAAAGCAAACAAAACATAAGCGATACTTACCCACAACAGACAGCAAGACATCGTGACCTCTCATCAATAAATACCACGTACAGTGACAGGATAAATACAAGCCGCACGTTCACATGTGCGTATGCATCTTCAATGCACCCCGTGATAAATTATCTCAGGATGTCGTCATCCTATTTTCAGGATGTCGTTTTACCCTAATAAATTATCTCAAGATGTCGTCATTCTACTTTCAGGATGTTGTTATTCCCTAATAAATTATCTCAGGATGTTGTCATTCTGTTTTCAGGATGTCGTCATATCCTAATAAATTATCTCAGGATGTCGTCATCTTGCCTGTAATATGTCGTCATCCTGAGATAAAATAAGTCAGTACCTCAACAAGTCGGATGGCACTTCCAGAGCTCCGTAGTTTAGGGAGGGTTGACTAATATTAAGGTACAATGTATAACAGCCATTTTTGGAGGCTAGGCACAAATAGTTTTGGAATTGAATACTTCATTGGCAAAATGTTTAATCTGGTTCCCCGACCCGACAATTTCCCCCGACGTGCAGACGTCTACATTTATATAAATAGCTCTTTTGGTCTGGGAACCGGACTACAAAGTTTCATATCCCTTCCAAATTCGTGACGACACAGAAGTAAATACGGAGAAATTAATTATGATCAGATAAAGGTGTTGGGCAGGAGATGGGGATTTTTTTTTTAATTTAAATCGCATTGATTTAAACAACTCACCGATTTAAGCACGTGGTTTGTTGGGGTTGTTTTATCTTTTGTTTATTTTTTTTTCTGTTTGTTATAGGGTGGATAGTTTTTCGGTTTTTTCCCCTCCAAATTTGTCTGATGTTCCTTCCTTCCACGATGAGAACAATCCAAGATGAGAACAATCAAAGATCGTATTATGGGAAAGATACGAGGCTCCTCTGAAAAAAAAAAAAAACAAGTAAAACAGGAAGAAGCTGCTCATGAGGAACAGCGCCACTACGTTCCTGGTAGGTAAAAAGCACATTAATTTTGCTATTATACAGTCACTCGACGTGATAACCTATTTAAAGCCACTAAACTTTGAAGATTGTGCGCATTAATGAATATTGAACAATAATAGCACAGACGTTAGGTCTATCAAAAAAAGTATTACGAAGGTGGTTGATCTTGATGCTTAATTTCCACATCATAAGTAAAGAGCGTATTATAAAATGTATATTCCTGATTATAAAGTTAATTGTGAAACACACAAAAAATGGAGATTCAAAACTTGCAGCTAACTATACTGTTATTTATACATACATGTATAAGGAAAATATATCTTGAAATTATAATTTTATAAATGATCACATTTCTTTAAATATCTGTCCAAAGGTTGGGCACGTTTTCTAATCGTAACGTTTTAAGTCACCAGAAATTTAGGACAAATCGGTATGTTAAACATGTGAACAACACTGAACCTTAAAGGAAATGTAGTGCTGGCTTTTTGAAATACAAATTGAGAATTGAGCCTTAGCGATGTTCGGGGACGAAATTAAAGTATCGAAATAGGGAATTCGTGTGATACAAGTGTTTAAAATAACCGGGACACCCATATTTAACTATTCAAAGTATCAAACTTTCAAATTAGCCCAAAAGGCAAAACAAAACATTTTTTTATTCTTCTTCTGCCAACTGTGACTTCAGAGGACAGTGAAATCGGTGCATATAATATACACCAGTTGAGGACCTTCATTATACTGGATGACCGCATAATCAGAGTCTTTAGGCCTTGTATAAAAAAAAGTGACACACAGACATTTTAGACAGACATCACACGGACAGACAGACATACATCACATTATAACGTAGGATATTTTAGTGTAGGATATAACAATAAACAAACCAATCAATCAATCAAAAGAAGAAAATTGGTGTTGCCAAAATTCGGAAACTGATTTCAACTTTTTTGCCGTCTTGATGTGTAAAATCTGCTTTTTGGGTAGCAGAAAAACAGGGAAACCTCGAAAAAGAATGCTGATTATTTGCTGCTCTAACAGATAGGGGTGCGTACTCCTCCGTGGTTCTACTCAAGCAGATGCTGCAAACGTTCCCGCTCGTTGGTGCACAGCCAATAGGAAATCGTCGGCAACGTTAATTACGTTTGCGTTCTCGTAAGTGGAACTCATACCAACGATTGAATATTCGTGCGTCGGCGAGAGGATGATGCCATGACGAGTTGACGACGACGATGATGTAGGCCCGTTTGGCTTCCAGACTCGAATTATTTTTGGGTGGTCAAAGTTGACAGCGTAATGGCTACGGCCAGCTATACCACCGCGCGGGTGCTTCATTTCTTCGAACCACACACCCCTCTCTCCTATTTTACATCACAATAATAGGGAGGACAATGGACAATACTTTGTGCGTGGGGAACAACAATAATTGTGTGGCGCAACTGTGGGTTGACTTGCAACAAGGGCTAGCCTCACTGTCCTACTGTCAATATTATCCACGTGTACAATGTACACGGCGAGTTCACTCAACTGTTATCACTGAGTGACTGCCATGTTTTTGGCTAACCCAAATACATGCACTTCCCCCACGGTTCACTGATCATGGGTGTAGGCCAAATAATTTTTACAGCAACAATGCAGAACCATTGCTTAGTGTGTGATTCATACGTAGGGTAATAACAATTAAGGACTCGCCCTGAACAGTTATTTGGAAAGTTCATTCATAACCTTTCCCTCTCTCCCGTGCAGAGTGATTTTCTCTGCTTTCTTAGCCATACAATTTTAGACGGGTTCATCAGAAGTCGTCACTGGCCTTTTGATCACTTTCGTACCACCTCGGGGATAACTTGAAAAAATTAATCGGCTGTGGACTCCATGACGTTTGTGGAACTTGTGGAACTGTGAGTGGAAATACATCAACTGCGTGGATCAGGGAAGCCAATGCAAAAAAAAATGGCCGATGTTCGAATTCACAACTGGTGGTTAATTTGTGCTTTACTGCTTGAAATCGGCAGTAATTCTGCAGCTCTGGCAGCGGGTGAGTAGGTTAACGCAATTACGTGTTAATTATGTGTTATATTGGTGTTCTTTCGGCATAAAGTAGCCCCTTGTGACCGGTACCGCTTCAAGTACCCTTGGTTCCATCATGGTCCCATGTTGTGCCACCGGTTAGATGTGTGTGTGGGTGTATGTAAGTCTGCGTGAGCTGGTGAGCTTGTCTTACATACGCAGTGTGGACTTCCGAACAAAAGACGTCCACATAATGTAGGTAGCAGCGACGAAGTGTGGACTTGCCCACGTCCACACAGTGTTTCCCCATTTCTGGAAAACAGGTTTAGAGGCATTTTTGGGTTAGGTTTATCTGTAGCAGAATGAAGAGAAACACTAAAGGGAATCATTGAAAAAAAATTGGGTTGTAAGAGTTTTCACAGTTTGAGAAAAATGAGTTTTTCCACTGGTGTTCCTTAACTACACGAAAAGAAAGGAAAGTCCACACTAGGTATGTGAAACAAGTCTGGGTGAGTGTGTGTGTGTGTGCTTTTTTATGCGATTCATATCCTATGCCGGAGTTAAGCCTATGAACGATTAACCGTAAAAAGGGCGGAGTCCTAGATGTTTAGTGTTCATGTCATTAGACTCTCAGACATTCCATGTTAAATAAAGAAAGCTGAAGAATGCACATTTTCAGATAGGGGTGTTGGTGCATAGCTTCGCCCCGCATGTACAATCCGCCTCACGTCACTTCGCCCTGGACCAAAGTTCGCCCCATCACCACTTCACCCATCGCCAAGGGCCCCTATGTGAACTGGAGGTGTTTATTTATTTATTTACTTTTACATCAAACTGGATTTCACATAACTGTGATGTCATTGTGACGGTATTAGAAGCGATTCTGTTTTCGAATATGATGATTTGCGCCCATGTATTAGGCCCCCTATTCGAGGATTTCAAAGCACACAAAATCATGTTCTAGCTTTGTAATATGATATTTATAATTTATTATCTATCATTTCACAGGCAAAACACAAGACATTTAATACTGTATATGTAAATATATGACAGGTTTAATATTCAATGTCATAAAAATTACTAGACACGACAAATAAGATCAAAAGGACAAACTACAAAAGGTTAAGATTCAAGAAACTATTAAAAAAAATGTTTTTTTAAACATTAAACATTACATTGTACCATGCAAGCTTGAGGGATTACCTAAAAAAAAGCTATAAACAAAAAGCCAGGTTGTCTACGATTGGGCCACGGATGACCAAGGTAAAGCGTGTACATGTATATATATTTTCGTAGCACTGTACAACCTTAACAGAACCATAGCACATCGGGCATATCCGTAAGACATTCGTACACGAATCTCCAAGAATACGAATAGCCACGATTAACACTACGGTTGTCCTACGGATGTCCCATGCCGGGTGCACTACGTATTGATTTTCATGACGTTTCACCACGGAAGTTTTTAACAGTTGAAAAGTTCCGTAGCCCCTCCAGGAACACCCAAGGAAGATGACGGATAACTACGGATGTTATGCATGGAGAACCGAAAATGGACGGCTCATTTTCTAAAAAAAAATCTGCTAGAACATAAGTAGAATTATGGTTGAAATGGAGTCCTCTTTCTGAATTTTCATTTTTCATTGTCCAAAGGTTGGATTTTTTTTGTTTCTACTAGCAAAAGTATGGGCAGCCATTAGGGCAAAAAAGACAAACAAAAAACACAAATAAAACAAAACCACAAAATTAAACGAAAACACACAAAAATAAACGAACAACTCAGAAATAAACGAATATATCTCAGAAATAAACGAACAACTCAAGAGCCTGTACGACCAAACCAAATTTCCGACTTTCTACGTGCAGAAAAATGAACGTTTGATACCATGAACCAAATTTAACCCACGCAACTGACATCACTGGATACGCCACTGGTGCTGGATACGCCACTGTTTTCATAATGGTTTCCCCAAATGCAAGAGGATTTGTATACATGTAGTTGCTAATGACCATGGCTTTCAGCCCAGGAGCATGTCATCGTGGAGTGATGGACTCAGGAAGATCAAGAATCGACAAAAATATACTCGGAGCACCATTCGGTCTTCAGTCTCTAGTACTCGGGACAGAAGCGCAGTGAAGGAAGTTTACGCCAGGTTTCAGATATGGACAGATCGGCGGCTAAATCATCTGCATACAATCAAGCAGTTATGATCTGCGGGGACGTTGGCATTGGGCAACGAAAGTTGGGGCCCTAAATCCCGTATGCTCGAGAGTCTCAGAAGACATTTTAGGAACTTTTCTACAAAGGCTTGCTTGACGAAGGTCTTCAATATCGGACCTTGAATGTTTATCAATCGGCAAATTGGTCCTCCATGAACCAACCATTTTGATGGTGTCCAAACAAACACCAAACTATGACTCGTGTCTTCAATGAAAAAAAAATTATATTCCAAAACATGGGATCGATGCGTCTTATGAGACTGTTTTGCACTACTGCCAACTTATAACAAGAGTTTTTCTGTATACGGCGCATGCTGACCAGGCATGCATGAGCAGCCATCCGCTTGCGCTTCGTAGGATTACGTTCACGAAGTTCTTTACAAAAAGTATACAAAATGTACATTGTATAATTTGCACGGTACATGCTAAATTAATTTCAGTTAAGCATTGGTATTGGATCGTCGAGTCTTGATGACAATGCAGAAATGTTCAAAGTTATGGTACCTGCAATTGAGTTCATCGGCCAGAAGTCACACTCCCTCCTTATAAATCACGCTATTTCCTTTCGAGTTAACCCATTACAGGGTTAACATAATCCCTGAATAGCGATACTACATATCTGTTACTAAACAGATACCGCTAGCTAGCCCTTGGGTTGTTTGTTAACATTGGACGCCATTTTGTATGGGCTGCCGCAATAAGCGCATAAAATGAAGCCGTGGTTGCGGGTTGGCAACATATTTTTCCCCAAAAGTCAGTTAGTTACACCCTCATTACCAAAGAAAAAGTTATGTTTAGGAAATCTTTTGTTGCGTTTGTTGATAATTGTATTTTCAATAATCAAATAATATTGTTGTATTCATAAGTGTTCTTCCTTGTTTTCAGTGTTAGACCTTCAATTTGGCAACCGGTGGCAACCACGCGTCGGCGATAGCGGTAACAATATACTTTTCTGGATCATGGACCGTCTGCGGTGTGTTTTATTTGCAGCACACATCGTATGATGATCATGATCATTCTAGTTCGATGTTTACAAGAAATAACAATGACGTCACACCATTGCTATCGAACGGCTTTCGTCGATGTGCAACAGCTATGCCTTGTGCACGGTGGCAGGGGCGGCGGAACCGGGGGGGGGGGGCTAGGGGGCAGTTGCCCCCCCCCCCCCCAGATTTTCCCAAGTGCCCCTTTTGCGGACATAAATGTGCCCCTCGAGCATAAAAGTGTCCCCTCGAGATTAAAAAAAAATAGCCCTACATTGTATCCGGCTATTAATTGTAAGTAACCATTTCACAAAATGGTATACGAGGAAATATGAAAACCAAGCCCCAAAACGCACACAATGCGCCCTAAAAAATGGGCAAATAATGCGTACATGTAGTTACGATACAATGCTCGGTTTTGAAGAGCCCTATGTTAAAAAATGGTACCAGCAGTCATCCATCCACACAGCGTGATCAATATTCATGTTAGAGTACGTTACGCGACGGTGCTGCAGAGAAACAATACGGGGACTATAGACTGTGCCGACTAATTTGATGCGAAGACCGAATATAGCGCAGCTTTAGATGCGGACTTGTATACTTGTCTGTCAAATTTTCCTAAATAGCGCCCTCTGTTGCCCAGTTTTATAGCCCGTTTCTCTCATTGGCGCGATGGGTTGCTTGGAGATTTGCATTAGGAGAAAGTTTATTGAATCTTTACTTGAATGAAAAGCGAAATCTATTCATCGACACCACTTATTGTTCTTAGACTCTTGGTTGAGTAGACGGGCTTGATCAGATCTGATTTTACCCAGGGTAGACAAGAATCAATAAAAAAAAAAAAGTTGGTGCGCATTGCATTGCGACCCAACCTAATTAGGAGACGTCACCACACTGGAAGGATGAGGACAGCAACTGTGCATAGTGTTCTTCAACCCAGACGTGGCCGGATGGCAACATCGCGTATCGTCGCCACTGAGGGGCACAGCAGGGTATACTCACAAGCAGGTCTTAGTGGATGATAATGGGCATCCAATGGGACAAGTTGCAACAGTGCAAGTTTACCAGTAATAAATCTTGTTTGAGGCTGTATAGTCGTGTACCCTAACGTGGCGCACTTCGAAGCTTACCCGACTTTCCTCGTGTAGTGTTGCCAAACCTCTTTGTTGACAAACCTCAAATTCATACAATGAAATACTAGTACTTTTACCTTATCAATACTTGCTATTTTACCTCTGTGAACAATTTCAGTTTCATAAAATTTAATCCGAAATTCAAAAACGGTGGTGTCCGGAAATTGGGCACAAAGTGGCGGAGTGTTCTCTAACGTGGCGCACTTGAATAAATCTTGGAAAATTCCAAATTAACACTTACGAATTCCTGTAAACGTGATAAATTCTGATAAGTAATTAATATCTTTACTTACATACCCAGCCAAATGTTTGTCAGAAAATTATTTTCTTATTTTTCAGGGCATTTTCAAAGGGTTCACTTTGCACTTGAAAATAAAATCGGAAAATCACGCCAAAATAGCTTTTCCTTCTAACTTTGTTACGGGTAAATAAACTCGCGATTTATGAACAGGACCGTTTAGAACTTGATGAAATTTCACTTTCTGTGAAATTTCAGTGTAAAATTTTGCTCTAGGTAGGCGCTACCGGCGAAAAATCCAAGTGCGCCACGTTAGGGGCCGCGCCACGTTAGGGTACATCAACAATAGGGTTGCATCATCCCCACCCCCATCCCCACCCCCATCCCCACCCCCACCCCCACCCCCACCCCCATCCCCACCCCCATCCCCACCCCCATCCCCACCCCCATCCCC